AATGTTTTTCACGCATCGATGTTGCGTAAGTACGTGTGCGACCCCGATCATGTCATTCCCCATACGGATATTCAGGTTCAGCCAGATCTATCGTACGAAGAGCGACCGGTAGCTGTACTAGACCGTCAGGTCCGTCGGCTCCGGAAGTGAGATATCCCCCTCGTGCGCATTCAGTGGGATCGCCACGGAGCTACTTGGGAGGAAGAGTCTGACATTCGCGCTCGTTTTCCAGACTTTCAGTTTTGATGTACATATTTCTTGATCCTATGTACATAGTTAATGTGTATCAGTTATGTTTTGAATTTCCGCGGACGGAAATTTTGTAAGGAGGGAGGATTGTAATATCCCGATATTTTATCGGTATAAATTGCGTTTTAGTTCCGATATAATAATGTTATCGTTTATTATTTTCGAAATTAATTATTTTCAGTCAAGATTACCGAAATCTATTTTCGACGTACCGTTTACGTTCGAAATAATTTTGGTAATTAAGTATTATGTTTAAGTGAATAATTAAACATAAATTAAGTGATTAATTACAATTAATCACACACTTAAGTTGAGCCCTAATAAGCTAAGCCGTGCCTTAGAAATATTTTTCCCAAAAATTGGAGCAAAAGTCGTGAGCTTACTTAGGCCAAGGGAAAAGGTTTTCTTCCAATCAAAATTAGTCACTTGTCAAGTAAAGAAGCAACTTAGTCATCACCAACATGGTTAATTAGCAAGCAAGTGTTGAGAGGAGAAGGTGGCCACGCCACACTTGCATCACCCCATCATCCCCTTCGGCCATCTATAAATAGAGAGGAGTTTGAGAAATTTTTCACCATTTTTCCCTCATATATATTAGCAGCCTATAGTCTTAAGTTCAGCAAGTAAATTCCCAAGATTAATCCCTAAACTCCTTATTAAATTGCACGGCAAGGTTGAACATACGCAAGGCGCACGCGCAAAGGCAAGGAGTTACGCCCTATTTCCCGATTTCGGTCGTTCGATCAGAGAGGTAATTCTCTCCTCAGCTTATATTCGTGTTGATTAAGTCGTATTAGGGTTAAATGTTCAGATCATGTTCGAGATTTTTAAGCTAAATCATGCTTAAGGCCGATCATGCGTAAGAAAGATCATTACCGAGTTATTTTCGATTTCTCTCGGCAACTCTCGAACCATTAACGTTTAAATGTTCAGTTAGCTTATTTCATGTTCAATAAGTTCGGAATTGTCGAAGCAAAGGGAAGTTTTGTCGATAAAATGGCCCGAGCCGACGCTAGCGCCTATCGCGCATGGCATCGGGTGGCCTCGGGCCGAGTCTTGTTGCCTTCAATAAGAATCATGTTCAGCCGTGTGTTTAAGTCTTAAATTGCTTCATGTTACTGTTCATGTCAAGTTGTTCTGAAGTTGCCGAGGAAATAAGTGTGTTAGCCGAGAGGCGGCGTATAGCCGTCGGCGGCGCACGGCGCGCCCGCCACGGTCTTGTCGAGTTCATCGTGCAACGATTTCATTTTCAGGTCATGTATGATAATTATATGTCATGTTAAGTCAGTTTATGACCAGTCATGTTAAGTTGGTCGAGGACTTGGCCGTAGGCCGTAGGCCTCGCACGTAGCGAGCACGCCACGGCCGGGTGTTAGGTTCGGTAAGTTAAGTTCAGCAAGCAAGTTCAGTTATTTCTTGTAAAATTCAGTATAATGTTCATGTTAAGTCATAAAAGGTTAAGTAAGGTCAGTTCGGTCGGAGAA